CTTCACAGAGTGTATTACACTCCTCAGAGACTGTCAGCCATTTACCGTACTGGTCAAGTGAGTGGGGGTCCTAGTGCCCCCCCAGCTGTGTCAAGTGACAAAGATGAGGAGGAACCTAGGAGCTTTCCTTTTCTCTGACCTGTGTTGCCTTTGAGGTCCAAATTTAACCAGTGGTAGATGACACAACATTAGAGGCACCAATGTGCTATCACAGTGACGTGTCTATAACTGAAGAGGAGACCCAGGGCACGTGTCCCTGGTGCTAACACTCATAACAAATGCTCTGAAGTAGCTAGGACCCCATATCCTTCCTCTTATCTATGCCCCAGGAGAAAGATAAGGCTCCTACTACAACTACTTTTGAATTCAAAGCATATGTAGTACTGATGGAGCTGTCCGCTCTGGTTCACATATGGACATTTCATCATCTGCCCTTGGCATCATTATACTTTGTTGCAGGTGTTATGTGTTTAAGGATGTAAAGTTTTGTCTTGTATCCGTACTTAGAAACCCAGGGCTGCATAGAGTACTCTCTTATCACTCACTTCCCCAGACTCTTACCAAATTTTCTGACCGACATGTATCAAAATGGCTCCAGTAAAGCTTCACAACATCCCCTTCTCTGTGTCCTTTGTTCCTTCTAATAGTGCTTTCACTTCAGTGTTTCCACATATTCCACAAAAATCTTCATACATCCCGTGTACATCCTCCAAAAAGTAATTGTGAACCTATCATAAAAAGTTACACTAATTTTGCTCATTTTAAAACATACATAGATGTAGAAACTTTTTTTAGGATAATGAACATAAAAAAAAAACATTTTTTGAACAATAGCAAGGACCCTAGTGAGGCAAGGGAAGAGGATCAGTTTATGCACAGCGAGTAGAGAAATGCATCAAAGTTTAATCACAAATCATTTAGCAATCAATGCTTGGATATGGTTAAAGCCATGGTTGAGGAGGATAATAAAATATGAGAATCCCACATAAGAAAAGAATAAAGGATATTGATAAAGGGATAAAAAAATTTGAAAAGTAGGAAAAATATAGTGATTAGATCTACTGATAAGGGGAGGGGAGAATAGTGATTGTAAATAAAGAGGAGTAGGTACCTGAGATGGAAAGGTTACTTTCAGAAGAAAATACACATAAAACCTTGTCAAAAAAATTAAATCAATAATGTAATGAATGAATTAAAGAAGTTGGTGAAAAAGGCAAAATATTGAGGAAATTAAATTAAAAGAAAGTCCGCTACCTTATACCTAATGCACCTGAAATACCCGTAATATACTATCCACCAAAAATACATAAAAATAAGACCAAACTACCAGGCAAACCCATAATAAATGGAATAGATTCTGCCTTTAGAAGAATGGGAGAATATATTAATTCCTTCTTACAAAGAATAGTAACTAATAAACCTGCCTATTTGGAAGACAGGGGACAATTGATTAAAATGTAAAAAAAAAAAAAAAAAGTTCCCTTGGAAAATGATTGCATACTAGTGACACATAATGTAAACGTGCTATACTCAAATAGAAAAGCAGGAAGATGGAATGGAAGCAGTAAGGTGGGGACTAGAAGGTCTTAGGGAACTAAAGGAGGAAAAAAAAGTATATTTTAGAATTTAAAAAATCTAGCTATGAAAAATATTTTTTTCTGGTATAAAAATAAGTATTACTTGAAGACAATGGGCATTGCAATGGGGGACAAGTGGGAAGCTGAAAAAATTTATGGTAAGATAAGACAGGAGTTAGTCTTTTATAAACATTTCATAGATGACGCAATAGTAATATGGAAAGGAAGTGAAAGGTCATTGAAAACATTTTTGGACAACATCAATGAAATAAATATGGTACCTTATTCTCAAGAACCTGGAGCCATAAACAGGTGAATTTCTTAGATCAGATAGTGTTTTCACATCGTAATAGACTATATACAAAAAGTACTTTAAGGAAGTGGATCCTAATAGTTCTTGCCTACCCACAGTTGTCATCACCCCAAATCGGTCAACAGCATACCAAATGTACAAATGATTAGGATGCGGCATCACTGTCATGCCCCATTCCAGCATGCTGATTATCACCTTCCCCGATGCGATGCCAGCATTCTGATCACCACCATAACCCATACCAGCTTCCTGATTACCCCATATGCCATATCAGCATCCTGAACACTGCCATACCAGTGTCCTGATCACCGCCATACCTCATGCTAGCATCCTGATCACTGCCATACCCCATACCAACATCCTGATCACCCCATACCGGCATCCTGATCACCCCATACCCCATACAAGCATCCTTATCACCGCATACCCCATACCAGCATCCTGATCACCCCATACCCTATACCAGCATCCTGATCACTGCCATGCCCCATACCAGCATTTTGATCACCGCCATGCCCCATATCAGCATTCTGATCACCACCATACCCAATACCAGCATTCTGATCACCACCATAACCCATACCAGCTTCCTGATTACCCCATATGCCATATCAGCATCCTGAACACTGCCATACCAGTGTCCTGATCACCGCCATACCTCATGCTAGCATCCTGATCACTGCCATACCCCATACCAACATCCTGATCACCCCATACCGGCATCCTGATCACCCCATACCCCATACAAGCATCCTTATCACCGCATACCCCATACCAGCATCCTGATCACCCCATACCCTATACCAGCATCCTGATCACTGCCATGCCCCATACCAGCATTTTGATCACCGCCATGCCCCATATCAGCATTCTGATCACCACCATACCCAATACCAGCATTCTGATCACCACCATACCCCATACTAGCATCCTGATCACCCCATATGCTATATCAGCATCCTGAACACTGCCATACCAGCATCCTGATTACTGCCATACCTCATGCTAATGTCCTGATCACCGCTATACCCCATACCAGCATCCTGATCACTGCCATACCCCATAACAGAGTCCTGATTATTTCCATACCCCATGCCAGTAACCGGCATTTTAGGGTCTCAACTGATCAATTTTCAAATATATAGTCCATAGTTTGTAAACTCTATAGCTTTCACACAGACTAAATATTACACTGTTTTGGGTGATTTGTACCCCGAAAATGTAGCAGAATACATTTTGGCCTAAATTTATGAAGAAAAATTATTCATTTGCCAAATTTTATAACAAAAACTAAGCAAAAACTGATTTTTTTTTTCCCCAGTACCACGAAAAGAAAGTATTATCTGTCTTAAACAATTGATACAAATTTCATATGGGTACAGTGTTGCATGACCGAGTAATTGTCACTCAAACTGTGATAGTGCTGACGGCTGAAAATTGGTCTGGACTGAAAGGGGGCAAAAGTGTCCGAACTTGGTTATGTTGTCCCTGATATATATATATATATATATATATATATATATATATATATAAAGAAAATGCATAACAAATGGACTCCTATTATATATATAAGGGTGGGTCAGCCCAGTCAAATTGTCATATTATGTGGTTCTCAATACATATCTTAAACATATGTCAGCAATATGGTATTCCACAATTCTGACTGAAACCCATATACAGCAGACAAAACCATGGCTCTTTTACACCAGAAGCATATCGGGAAGTCCTCAGATCAAAATTCCATCTCCTTAATAGTTCTTTGAGTGATGCATGTATTCAATATCATGCGTATTATACTTCATATATTATGGATAAATAGGGCTGTTGTATAGTAAAATCACTTCAGACAAGACTAAAGGATTGTGTTTCCACAGTGAGGATAAATTCCCGTGTATGGCAGAACACTAAGTCCCCGTCACATCCGATGAACTGGCCAGAACAATGGAAAAAACACAATTGGCTTTGCATTTGGGAAAAATTTCACACTAATTCATATTGCTCACAAGTGTGGCATCAACAGCCACTCCATTTTAATCCATGTATATAAACACAGCCATGGTAAAATGCATAAAAGTAAGTAATACTTAACCTCCCTAGCGGTCTGATTATGTCCATATTTACCGTATTTATTCGAGTATAACGCGCAAAATTTTCTACCAAAAAAAGAAATCAAAGTTTGGGTGCGCGTTATAAACGAGGGCTGGGGTGGGGTGACGCAGTGGCGGCCGATCCATTGAGGGCGCAGGCGCTCACTGTACACGAGGGCGAAGAAAAAAAAAACCCCCCTGTGCCAGCCCCACCCCTTTAAGGGGCGGCGAAAACAGGGGATCGTTTTTTTTTTTTCTATGTCCCCTCGTCGCGTACAGTGGGCGGCCCGAACTGGCGAGATACACTGGGGGTTTCTTATCCGCTGTAACATATGGTCGCCTCTTCATTTCCTTTCCTCGCCTCGCCCAACGTTACGGTAAGCATTGCTGTTTTGCTGTTTTGCACAATTCAGTGTTCTTCATATTTTTGGTTCTTCAAAAAGTGAAACAAAATTTTTATACCGATTTTTAATCGAAAATTAGGGGTGCGCGCATTATACACGTGTGCGCGTTATACTCGAATAAATACGGTATGTGCTCAAAGCGGTACATTTTTTTGCATGGAAATATGTATTTTTTTTATTGTAGGCTGTAATTTTTAGGAATAATTCACTGAAATATGTCCGAACAAGAGTCTAGTAAACATCCCAGGTATGTTAAAATTTGAAACACAAAATCATAAATTATAATTTAATAAATAATCATAAAAAATAAATAATATAATAATAAATTTATTTCAATAATATAATCAAACCAAAAACACTGAAATTTGAAACTAAGCACCAAGTTCGCACATCACTGAGCAAAGTCACAAAATCGTTTTCAGTGTCTGATGACTAATTTCCCCACGAATCATTATCACTCAATTCTGCAAGTGGTTCTGATTTACTATCGCTGTTTCTAGCTGGTCTAAAACCGATTTTGACCTAAAGGGATGCTTTTTGGACGCCATGGACGTTTCTCAGTTTCCAGGCAGAACAGTACAAATGTAGGCAGGGCACAGGACAAAGCACTAGGGACAAAATGTATGTAAAATGCTTTGATACAGTAATGTTTTACTATGTGAATTTAGTGAATTTAGTGAATTTCACTTTTTGTCATTTTCAAATTTCCCACCAGTTCCATCCCCTGTATGTCCCGACGCTCGGAGGGGACAAAACCCAGATGACAGATGCCGGCATCCGCCGGAAAACATTACAGGGGACACTGCAGGAGGGACATCGCTGGAGCGCAGGACAAGGTAAGAGAAGTGTATGGTAAGCCCGAGTGTAGTCGGGGTTACCGCTTGTGGTGCTGAAACTTTACCCCGAGCTACACTCGGGAATACCGCCAGGGAGGTTAAAGGGTTACTAAAGGCTAATTTTTTTTAAATGAAAATAACAAACATGTTATACTCACCTTCTCTGTGCAATGGTACTGCACAGAGCGGTCCAGATCCTCCTCTTTTTGGATCACCTGCCGGAGATCTTGGCTCCTCCTCTTATTAGTGTGTCCCCATAGCAAGCCATTTGCTATGGAGGCACACAGTGTCTGCTCGCTTCAGAGCTGTGTGTCTATGCAGCTGAGCTCCCCTACTTCCTCCTTACTGTATTTGATCAACAGCAGCAGCACACAACTTTATGGTTGAACTAGATGGTCTTGTGATTTTTTTTTTTAGCCAGGCTAATTATGTAACTATGTCACTTTGTATTGCAATCAATGCATTAAGGTAAAAAGTTAATTACATTTTAAATCATTTCTATAACTTTATAATTCTGCCCTGTATCATTCCCACAGCATCTATATGATTACTATGATGTTGATAATATGTTTATTGTCTTACACAATCGACTATTTTTTTGTTTCTTCATCTTTTGCATATGCTATTACAGTATCTGATGATTGTCAAATTTGTGATGTGTGATGACTGGTAAATACTGTTCAGACTCATGACTCTCCCAGCTCACCCAATTATATTATATAGAAGAAATGAATTATAAAAAATGTTCTTTCTGTGTCCTACACAAGCATCCCTAGATGCAATTGTACAGACGCTCAGGGCGTAGCTTTTCGGTCAATATTCGACATGCTCATCTTCATATGACATGCCTGCGGATCCAAGCCCCTAGTTCCAAATATGGTTCCTTAAATACCCACTCAATCACTATCAGTATGATACAAAATTGTCCATTACACTTGTCAATGTTGAGTGAATGAATCTCTAATTTCTCTGAGACATCAACAGAAATGTCCAATGCTTGATTTATGTGTTGATTATTTGTGGACCTTTTTTCAGTCATTTATAAGTCTAATTTCTCAACACTAGATGGCATTCTTGTCTGTAGGTGTGCAATTATCTTGTTGACCACAGTTAGTGCTGTTGTGAATGTGTTCATTGCTTTTTTTGTGAGCCTGTATTGTTGCTGGGTGGCTTCGGTTCACGCATGCGCGTCGGAGCTCTTGCACATGCGCAGTCGTGTATCGGACATCCGCTCCCGGCCAATGACATCATATGTTGACCGGCGTGGAGGATATAAAAGAGGATAGGAAATAGGAGATGGTCTCTTGGCCAGAGGCATGCATATGCCATTCAGGCGGCCTGCTATGTACTATTTGCTAAGTATTGTTTGTTTTTTTTTACAGTTGGCACCTTGTGAATTGATGGCTACTACTGATATTTATTATATTATTATTATACAGTATTTATAAAGCGCCAATAGTTCGCTCAGCGCTGTACATTACAAAGGGGGACAGAACATGTGACAGAACAATACCAATACAATGCAAAACATGAGGGGATTGAGGGATATCTAGTGACAAACTGTGACAGTGACAAGTATATTATTTTTCCAGTCATTGTAACTAACATGCAGGTCTATTTGACATTTATAACTGTTTTTGTTCGTTTTTCTTCTTTGTGGGTTACATGTTGCTTATATACATATGTTAAACCTAGATGGATAGTTGACCTCTCCTATATCCTCTGCAATTGCATGAACTCTTGGGTCAAAAAGACGTTCAATTGCCTATAATTGACATGCCTCATTAGCTTTGGAAGCTTGATGCTCTTGGTAAGCTGGGGAGCCTTATATTGTTCTGGTCAGTTTAAACAAGTACCTTTGCACAAAAAAATATTATTATTTCTCTTTCTTATTGTAACTTTTTTTATGTATATTATAGACTGTACTGCAGCTCCACTTCTTTCCCTGAGGAAGACCATGTTGGGCAAAACATGTAGGGAAGTTATATTCCTCAATACCGCAGCAAACAGCCAAGCTTGTTATTGTTGTACTGGTTTTTACTGGAATTTTTATATTGACTAATAAAGCAAAAAATAATTTTTTATAAACGTTATTTGTCTATAGTTTTTGCACCTCAAAAATACCACAAACTTCCTAGTTCTATATGCTTTTTTTCAAGGGATGTGCTTTAGTGTCTAGGCTTGGCCTTTTATACAGTACTTGCTCAGGTTTGGCAATAAAACGTGGAGGCTGGTTTCTATGCAGAGCTACACCAGATTTTTGCACTCTTCGGTTTTAGTAAATCAACCCCATAGTGTCCTAAGCAGGACCAGCCACGGGATTACAGCATGTGGTGGTGGATGGTTGCCTGAGTGATTTTTCCAGTTTCACATTGGCTGCATCAGAGGCTCTGCTCAATCTTCTGATTCTGAATCTTCAATCTTCTAGATCTCCCTCAAAGAGAACCTCTCATAGTGTAGTAATATCCAATGTATTAAAAAATTCCTTAAAACCACACTTACATCAATATAGAACAGTCAAGCATGAAGTATCTTAGAAATGGAAACCAAAACTGCCAGTTTGCTCTCCACTGACTGGAAGTGACATATCATGGAAAGCTTTCCCAACACCTTTTGTTAGCAACTTCTGATGTCATCAGGGTTCACATGACCAGACACTCACTTCCTTTATAGTCAGAGTCAGAATTAATGAACATATAAGTAACATTAAGGGTTTTCCAAAACAGTGTGTCCAATCACTTTTGGTTCACCATAATAGGGATCTGGGATTATTGACATTTTGTGGTATTGAAAGTTGAATAGGATTGGAGAGGCTGTAATTTAAAACAAGCCATTACCATGAATGAAACACAATGGATTTTTGAGCTGCTAGCCTTAATTTAGATATAGATTTAAATTGTTTTATTTCTCATTTTTAAGGCATTTTAAATTGAATGTATTTGCACTTGCACTTAATCGATCCAATCAAATTGTATCACCTTTTGCTTAATGGTAGGTTGTATACTGATAGTTATTATTTTTACCACAAGGGGGTCTTTTAAATTCCCACTTTTTGGGTTTGTGTGATTTATATTTATAATACTAATTTTTACCAAAAGGAGACCTCAGAGTATCAATTTATAAATGACATATTAAGAGCTCTCATTTTTAAAGCCCTATTCATATTTAACCACTAGACGTCCCTATCTGGGTGGTATTATGTTTATTAGGTGGTATTATTTTATTTATTAGCCACACATATACATTTATAACATACAAATGATGACTGATATAATTCATATATGATAGTAAGATTTTGTTTAGGGTAATAGCAAGCATTTAATATATAGGATAGTCCTGATTCTGATTGGATAAAGTAGGAGCAAGATGGCAGTAATGTACATATAAAGGAAGTAAGTGTCCGGTCATGTGACCCCTGATGACATTAGACAATACTGACGAAATGCATTAGGCGGCCTTTCCGTGATACGACACTTCCGGTCAGTAGAGCGCAGGTAGAGTGCAAACCGGCGGTTTCAGTTTCCATTTCTAAGATACCACATGCTTGACTGTTCTACATTGATGCAAGTGTGATTTTAAAGGAATGTTTTTAATAAATTGGATATTATTACACAATGACAGGTCCCTCTACATCTTTCCCTCTTTGAGGGATCCATAGATCCATACAGATTCTCTTAAAGGCACTGCAGCATGGCCAATATACAATGAGATTTAATTGTCCACATGTGTGGGGCATTATCATTATCAAATATTTAAGATATCACAAGCAAATGTGACCTTCTGTGACCTTCTTCAAAAGAGGTCATACATTTCTAGTGAGTGTAGTGTGCTTTCTTTTGGGAAGAGAGGAAGAGCACAATTTCCTTGGGTATCATTTTTCTGCACAGTCTGATTATGTCTATTTGGTACTGAGCACTTTAATTCTGAATACAGACTATGGACTTTTTCTTGTTAAATATGAACTGTTTATTTATTTTGTATTAATGTATTGCACGCAATTTTGTTGCACATAATTTATTTAGGCTGCATTAAGTACTTTTATTTATTACACACATTTCTTTGTGCATTGTCTGTTTAGGAGAGCGCGGTCAATATGACATGACAAGCTTGGCGACGTGCTGCTCTTTGATGGTTGTGGAATAGATATATTTGTATACACGGGGCACTTTGTAATTAATTGCATATAAGAGCTAATCTAATATACATTCATACATAAGTTCACACAGTTGCTAAAAAGGGGCATCTGTAAAGTAACCTCCAACAGCTGAAACTGAAAGGGTGTTCTGAGTAAAATGCAAGAAAACAACACCCATTGATATGAGCCCTTCTAAAACATATCTAAACCAAAAACAAATATACTGCAGCTTACCATTCCTTAGATGTGTTGGCTGTATTTGTTTTTAGTATTTTCTTTCTCCGATTTTAACCTGTTGATCCAGCTAGTGGAATGCTTCTTGTCTTAGAGTGTCTCCACCCTGGATGAAGGACCAATGGGGGCACCTTTGGACAGCAGCAGTATCAATCTGGAGAGAGGGTAATGTTGGATCCACTAGCAGATGTAGATAGATTTAACTAACAAATTAAAGTCAAAATCCAGCTAACACTTTTAAGTAGTGTGAAAAGGGGTAGTTAGCTCTCATGGCAGATGCATTGTTTTAGTGAGTCCACAGCAGAGAGGAACTATTTTAAGGGCTTGGTAGCCCACTTTTATTTAAAAGAAAGAGAAAATTCACAAATGCATGATTTCAACAAAAATCCACATTGGAAAATACCGAACCACCTGGCTCACAAGCTCACTCAGCTTCACTTGCAGTACTTCTCCTGGATACGTGGCTCTCTAGCCTTTAGACACAGCACCCTGTAAAGTCCACCTCTGGCCTGTGGATGGGGTTCTCTTGACACCCCTATAGGAGCCGACCTGACTCCTGGAACTGAGACCCCTGTCTCCTGGCCTACGACTGGGTCCTCTGACTCTTCAATGAGACTATCCATCTCCCCCACTGCGAGCGGTTTCCAAGTGGGAGCCCTGAGCTATTATGAGACCTGAGTATATATCGACCCCTCCCACCTGTGTACTCCAGATTGCATCCAGCAAAACTCA